CTGCATGCCCGCGATCTGCTCGTCCTCCGCGGCCGCTCCGCGAGGCGCCGACGCAGTGGGGCTGTCCTCCGCCTCCTGCTCCGGCTCCTGCTGCTCCCTGATGTGCCCCCTCTCATCCTTCGCCAGTCCGTCGCCGTCGCCTCTTCCCGCTGGGCCTCAAAGTTCTCGAGGTCCTCCGCCTTCCCCTCCTCTGCCTCCGCCTGCTTGTCTTCGCCGCTGTCTATTGTCCTCCTCCCGCTTCTCATCCGCGATCTCCTCCTCCTCCTCCTCCTCCTCCTCCTCCTCCTCCTCCTCCTCATCTGTAGCCATTTTGGCTCATGCTGGCTCGAGCTGCCCCAGGCGCGGCGGGGAGGCGGTGCGAGCATGGCGGCTGCGGGCGGCGCCCCTGCAAGGGCGACCTTGGAGCCGTCGGCGGCGCGCAGTGCTAGGCGTGCACGCGCTCAGGAGGCAGCGGACGGCGCAGTCCGCAACGCGATCGGTAAGACCAAGCTGCTGGAGGAGAGGCTCGAGCTCGCCGAGTCCGCCCTGTCGGCGCTGGTCGGCGATTCGCTGCTTGCGGACTGCGTTGCTGCCGTCTTACTGGCGCTGCAGGACCTGGCCGATGGTCGGGTGCCTTCATGGCTGGACCGTCTCAGGCGCGACGTGGCGCTTCATGCGCCCGTGCACTGGAGGGTCGGATCAGCACGGCGTCGCCGTCGGAGCTCCGCGCGGCCGGCAAGGGACAGCGGCTGGGCGCGGAGAGCGACGTGGTCATCTCGGACGAGAGGTGCGTCGCGAAGCACGTCTCTGTCAGAGCTGGGGGCTGCGAGGCGTCGGACACCGTGGGACCCACATCATAGTGTCTTTCGGCTCCCTTCTTCCGACCTGGCGCAGGGGCTCACTTCACAGTGCGAGTGAGGGGTGATGCCCAGTGTGACGTGCTGCTGGAGGCACTTGCTCAGCCTGCGACGTGGCAGCCAAGTGTGCTGAGTCATATCTTTGATGAGGGCAGCTTCGGGGTTCACTGGGCCGCCCCACTCGAAGGGCCCAGCATAGACGGCTTCTGTCATGCTCTTCATGGTGGCGGCAGGGGCGAGGAATGGAGGTGGCCAACCGTCCCCCCAGTAAGTCCGTTTTCTTGGCTGATCGGTTATTCGCAGGCCGGCGTGCTCCAGGGCCCCCTCGATGGCTCGGCGGACGACCTCGAGGTGAAGGACATGAGGGTGCAGCCGTCTGGCATGCAGCTGATGTCTCCCAAGGGTCTCGACAAGCTGGAGGAGGTGAGGCCGCTCTCTGTCTTAGGCGAGATCTCGGGCGGCACCAACGCTGGATGTCATGATGAGGAAGATGCATGCCCTCTGTCGGGAAAGGCCCTCTGGGCCAGGATCCAGGTGGAGGGTGGAGTGGTCCTTGGGGAGGTTCGGGCCCAGGTGGCTGGAGGAGAGGCCGACCCCCTTGCTGTTTCCCCGACGTCGGGAAGGGCCCAGGTGGTGGGAGGAGTGGCCGAGGCCCAGGTGTTGGGAGGAGAGGCCGAGTGCCCTGCCCAGGTGGTGGGAGGGGAGGAGAGGCAGAGGTGCTTCCCTCGACAGGCAAGCAGTTTCGCGACAATATTTGGTGGCACGGCTCTGTTGATAGAGTGCTACGCAGGCTGGAGATCGGCCGCAAGACTTGCTTTCTGTCTTGGTCTACTGCAGCGTCTGGCGGTGGGCAGGCTGCGGGTGTCTTTCGGTCGAGCCAGCCGTCCTCCTTCAAGGGCGAGGGCCAGGATTGGGAGAACATGGTGTTGGTGATCCGCGAGCTGGCCGCGCAGCTGGGGCCCCTCCCCTCCTACGGGAAGCCGCGCGGCCACGGCTGGTCCCATCATCCGCCTCTTCGCTGGTGCTTCGACTGCCGGGCCTGGAGGAGCAGAACGGGTTCGTGGAGACGTCTTGGCGCCTGGACGATCCCGAGCCTTTGCGGGATCGCGGCACTCGTCGTGGTCGGAGGCTCTTGAAGAGGTCCCTTCTGCCAGCGCGGTGCAGGTCGTGGTCTGAGAGGAGGCGTGGGCCCTCCCTCCTTCCCCCCCCCCTCCCCTCGTCCTGCTCCTCCTCAGGGCTTCGGTGCTGTGGTGGAGGGAGGATGCGGGCCGCGGAGTACTAATGAACTCCTCCTCTTCCTCCTCCTCCTCCTCCTCCTCATCGACCTCCTCCTCCTCCTCCTTCTCCTCCTTCCCACCTCCTCCTCCTCCTTCCCACCTCCTCCTCCTCCTCCTCCTCCTCATTCCCCTCCGCGTCCGTCTTCTCACAATCGGCCCCTTGGCGTCTCCTGGGCGCCTCCCGGCCAGAATTTCGAAGCGGCTCCAACGATTGCGACCATCCCCCCCCAGCCACCAGGACCCAGAGAGAAAGCAATTCGCCGGCCCAACGGGCCAGAGGCGTGCTAAGATCTCCGGTAACTGGTAAACAGTATTTCTGGTTCGCGCGCGCGGGGCGGCCCCTGGGGGTCCCTGGATCAAAAGTACCCCGAGAGGAGCCCGGGACACGCCTGGGACACGCCCGGGACACTCCCCCAGATCCTCCAGGATCGCCCCAAGAGGGCCCCAAGAGGCCCCCAACACAATCCAAGAGGGGTCCGAGACGCCCGAAGATCGCTCCACGGCGCCCAAGATGGCCTCCAGACGGCCCAAGAGGTCTCCAAGATGACCCAACAAGCCTCCAAGATGCCCCAAGAGGCCTCCAGGAGCACTCCCAAGAGGGCCCCAAGAGGCAAAACACTGCGCTTTTCCTTTGGTTTTGGACAGATTCGGGCATTTTAACCTTTTCGGTTCCCCGACGCCCCTAAACTTCTCAAGAGGCCTCCAAGATCGCCCCAAGAAGGCCCAAGAGGCCCCCAAGAGCCTCCTAAGAGGCCCCAGGAGAGCCCAAGACGCCGCCAAGGAGCCCCAAAACGCTACCAAGAAGCCCCCAAGAGGCCCCCAAGACGGCCCCAAGAGGCCCCAAATAGCGCTCCAGGGTTGGCGGAATGAGCGAAGCGATTAAATAAACGTCAGTTCCTGCCTCATCCCCCTCATTCTCCCTCCTTCTCCTCCTCCACGTCCTCCTTCGTCGTTTCTCGCTCCTCCACCAACGCATGAAGGGGAATAGGAGGGATGATGAGGAAGATGCTGATAATGAGGCGGCTGATAACGATGAAGAAGAAACGTAACAACAGCAATCAGAAGAAAGAGGGGGGCTGATAATGATTGGGTGAATCATCTGAGGTGGCAAGCACGGCCAGGATACATTGGAACGACTAAGCGGCGCCAGCCGTCTGGTCCAGATAGCTCGCACCGTCTCACCCCTCTTCTTCGTCCCCTGCTCCCCGCCCCTACTCGAAAAAGTCTCCAGGCATTCACCGGAGCCCACTGGATGCTTTCAATGAGCCCCCATGGGGCCATCGCAAACCCAACAAAGAGCCAACGCGATCCTTAACGCGATCCGCCTCGGTCGGTTACCCGCTCACGGCTCCCACGGCGCGCTCGTGTCGTGGCGACGACGGCTGCGGTCCCGGACAATGCGCGGGTCTTTCAAACCTGATTGGCCACGGATCGGCGGCGCCGATTGGTTGGTGTCGGCCGATTCCGGCTCACCAGCGGCGAACAACATTGAACGCGTCCGCTAAAGCCGCCAAGGACTCGATACACTTGGCGGGTCCCTGAAACCCTGCACCCAAACATGTTGTCGTCTCTTGGGAGATCAACGTTTGCTTGCGCCGGCTTCCGCCGAGCTTCCGCCGGCGGAGCCGCCGCCGTTTTACGTCTGCCGCCTTCCGCCGAGGAAGTGATGACAACTCCTCCTGTCCTCGACGGCAAGGCCTTTTCTGAAGCGCTCTGCTTGTGGTCGCTGCGGCGCGGATCCACGCGGTGGTCGGAGGCAGCCAAGGGACACTTGTGGGGCCGAGTGAACTGGGCACAGCAAGAGTGCACAAGCGCGCAAGGGAGGAGGGGGGGAGCCGTCGGCGGCTGAGCACGCTCAGAGCATGCACTTCTTGGCCGCGTGTGCTGGAGCACAGGCTTGCACAGCAGCGGGATGTCGAAGGCGTCCGTGGAATTCCGCGGCGCCAGCGTACGAACAGACCGACGTGCCTCTGGAGAGAGGCCCCCAGACGCCCTCACGCGGGAGGCCTCCGCGGAGGCCCCCGGGAGCTTTCTCGGAAACCCGACGGGGACCCAGCACAACTCTCAAGATCCTGGGCCCTCCTCTCTCCTCGCTCACCGTGCCCACCCCCTCGCTCCTCGCAGATCCCTCGGCTCCTCGCTCCACCCCCCCCCGCCCCTGCCGCCGTGAGGGGAATCGATGGGGCGGGAACCGGCTCGGAGGGGGAAGCGTCGAGCTTGAATCAGCGATACGTCGCCGAGGGGTCGGCGACGCCACAGCGAGAGTGAAATTGCACGCTCCCGGGCGGGGTGGGCTATCAGGCCGCCATCGTCTTGTAGGCTGCGCTTGCTGTGTGAACCCTCTGGGGAGGGTGGGCCATCGGATACGCTTGGGGTCCCACGCTCGTCGATCGAGTCTGCGCGGTCTCTGACACCGCCTGTAGGGCGCTGGCTGGCAGTGGAGCCACACTCTAAGCGCAGGCTGAATGGGCGATTGGGGGTCGATGCGTCCCCCCCGTCCCTGACCTATCCTCCACCTCGCCTTGCCCCTGACGCCGTCGCTCCGCCACCCGGGGGGGGGGGCGGCGGCTGGCCGAGAACTCGCAGAACCGCCGCAGCTCGGTGCGCCGGTGGGGCTGGCTCCTCGTAGAGGGCCCTCCTCCGCCTGCTCCATCTCCTCCATTTCCTCCTCCTGCTCCTGCTCCTGCTCCTGCTCCTGCTCCTGCTCCTGCTCCTGCTCCTGCTCCTGCTCCTGCTCCTGCTCCTGCTCCTCCTCCTCCTCCTCCTCCTCCTCCTCCTCCTCCTCCTCCTCCTCCCCTTTTCCTTATGAACAACTCCTCCCTGCCGCTCTCCCAGGCGTGTCGGTAGGGCGGGCCGAGCGTTTCTCCTGAGACCTCCTCATCACGAATGATCCTGAAGACTGAAATTTGCAGCCACTTCAAGGATGGAGGCGGGTGGTTTTCAAAATGTGGCGATCGCCTTGCGCAGCGCACATTCGTTTCAAAAGTGTGCAAGAGCTTCACGGATGCAGGGCGGCTCCTTTTCGACATGTAGCTATCACCTTCGCGCCGCGCACATTCGTTTCAACAGTTTGCAGCAATTTCAAACACAAGGGCGGATCCTACTCAAAATGTGGCGCTTGCCTGAGCGCCGCGCACATTGGTCATTGACAAATGCAATTCTCCAGGATTCGTGGGATAGAGTCCCGGGTGTGGTGCTCTGGCTTGGTTCGGGACTGCCACGGCGCAGCGATCAGGTTGATTCGCGGTGTTGACACCCCACCGCAGTGATCTTTGGGCGCGGTTTAGCATGATCAGGACGACGTTGATTCGCGGCGTTGGAGTCCTGCGATGTTCTGTTTCGGCGCGACTGGGGATTCACAAGACTGTTGTCTTTCTTTGACCGGGACGCTTCCCGCAGTGCTGATCAGCTTGTGTAGAGACCTGGAGAGGTGGCTTGAAGGGAGGGTGTGGTGCAACATCGTCGATGCCCCTTCCTCCACCTCCTCGTCCTCCTCCGCCCCATCTCCTCCCAACCCTCCTCCCCAGCCCTGCCTCCCCCCCTCTCTCCCCCTGAGTTCCGATGTCGTGATTACCTAACAGCGAAGACTGATAGGTTCCTAGTAGGGTCAAAAGAGAGCATCATGACTCCCCAAGGGGGTCCGGGCAGGATCCGGGGGGATGCCGGGGAACTCGTTTAAGCAAACAGTAACACACTTCGTGGTCTTCGAGTTCCCAGAACTCCATTCCCGGGCCACATTTTGAATGCCCGGAGCCAACTGTAGGCCACTTCGTGTTCTTCGTGTTCCCAGTACACCATTCCCGGGCCATCTTTTGGATGCCCGGAGCCAACTGTAGGCCGCTTCGTGTTCTTCGTGTTCCAAGAACACAATTCCCAGGCTACATCTTGATTGCCCGAAGCCAACTGTGAGGCTGAGGCTGAGGCAGGCTGAGGCTGAGGCAGGCTGAGACTGAGCCTGAGGCAGGCTGAGGCTGAGGCTGAGGCTGATGCAGGCTGAGGCTGAGAGGCTGACGCTGAGGCTGAGGCAGGCTGAGGCTGAGGCTGAGGCCGAGGCAGGCTGAGGCTGAGGCTGAGGCAAGCCGAGGCAGGCTGAGGCTGAGGCTGAAGCTGAGGCAGGCTGAGGCTGAGGCTGTGGCTGAGGCTGAGGCTGAGGCAAGCTGAGGCTGAGGCTGATGCAGGCTGAGGCTGAGGCAGGCTGAGGCTGAGGCTGAGGCAGGCTGAGGCTGAGGCTGAGGCCGAGGCAGGCTAAAGCTGAGGCCGAGGCAAGCCGAGGCAGGCTGAGGCTGAGGCTGAAGCTGAGGCAGGCTGAGGCTGAGGCTGAGGCTGAGGCCGGGACTGAGGCAAGTTGCGGCTGAGGCTGAGGCTGAGGCAGGCTGAGGCTGAGGCTGATGCAGGCTGAGGCTGAGAGGCTGACGCTGAGGCTGAGGAGGCTGAGGCTGAGGCTGAGGCAGGCTGAGGCTGAGGCTGAGGCTGAGGCTGAGCTGAGGCAGGCTGAGGCTGAGGCTGAGGCTGAGGCTGGGCTGAGGCTGAGGCAAGCTGCGGCTGAGGCAGGCTGAGGCTGAGGCTGAGGCAGGCTGAGGCTGAGGCTGAGGCAGGCAGGCTGAGGCTGAGGCCGAGGCAAGCCGAGGCAGGCTGAGGCTGAGGCTGAAGCTGAGGCAGGCTGAGGCTGAGGCTGAGGCTGTGGCTGAGGCTGAGGCAAGCTGCGGCTGAGGCAGGCTGAGACTGAGGCTGATGCAGGCTGAGGCTGAGGCAGGCTGAGGCTGAGGCTGATGCAGGCTGCGGCTGAGAGGCTGACGCTGAGGCTGAGGCAGGCTGAGGCTGAGGCTGAGGCTGAGGCTGAGGCTGAGGCCGAGGCAGGCTGAGGCTGAGGCCGAGGCAAGCCGAGGCAGGCTGAGGCTGCGACTGCGAGAACTGCAGAATTCTACAACTGGATTCTCACCTAAATCTTAAGGGGAATGGTTCCAGATATGCTTCTACACATCGCTGTTAGGTTGCTTTGCCGGGATAATTTTCTCAATACGGGGTTCCCTGAAATCACGACCCATTACTGAGGACCGGTTTTTCATCCTGAGTCGTTCTTCGACGGTCCCGAGGCCTGGCGAGGACCCCAAGGGGACGAAATTTGCGAAAAAACTCCTCTGCGGCGCCTGCCCTGGCGGCCCTCAGGGCTGCGAGCCAGCGCCAGACGGACCCCCCCCCCCCGCCGCTGTCCTCCGAGGGGCAGCCGCAGGGCACCGATACTGGTGCTCCCTGGACTCTCCCGGGGTGCCTCCCGACCAGGAATCCCGAAGCGCAGCCAGCGGTGGCGACGAGGGCCTCCGAGGAGGCCCCAGCAGGGGAACTCGCGGAAAGGGTTCGGAGGTGTGGGCACCTCTTCCTCCTCCTCGGACGCCTCCCCCCGCCCGCCCCCCTTCTTGCCCCCGCAGCGAGGCGCGGCCTGCCTCGCTGCCGCAGGTCTCCGCCGCCGATGGCCCCGGGGGCGCCCCCGCCGCGGGGGCAGCAACGAGAGCGCCGCGCCCCCAACGGAGGGGAAGCTGCCAGCGGTTTCGGCCTCTGGAGGCCCCTGCTGGCCCTCGGGGCCGTCCGAAGACGACTCGGGAGGAAGCGCCGGTCCAGGGGAGGGGGTCGAGGCCTCACGCCGGACAGAGCAGGATCTGGCGTCGGGGGCCCGGGATGGTGGATGCCATGACGCTGGACACCGTAACAATCCTTTCGTTGAAGGAACAACTGTGTCTTACATGCTTCATGTTCTAACATTGTAGAAGGTATGCGGTTTAACCTGTTAAAAACATGTTGAACACATGTGTGGCCTCTGGGAATTCTGTGGCAACGCGCTTCTTCTCCATGTGTCGTCCTCCACACGTCTGGGCTGCGCGACCGGGCGATCCAAGGAGGGAAGGGCCAAGGATGTCACCACTTCTCGCCGGAGTCCCAGGGCCACCCAGAGCTGGGAGGAGGACCTCGTGAAGGCGAGGCCTCCTTGGCCTTCCGCTCCCGCGCATGTGCGGCCCCCTCCACCTCCTCCTCAACGGAGATCACGATCAGCAGATCTTCCTTGCCCGAATGGATCTTTGTCAAAACGAAGACCGCGTACTCGAAGAGGACGTCCAGGAGGGCCCACGCGATCTTGGTCAGGTGCCCTGGCCGCCTGCTCGCGACGCCGCTGCAGCACACTCTGCAGAGCAGACGGATCATCAACACACGAAACAGGACGCAGGCCAACAATGGCTCGCAGTCCACACAAACGCGAGCGCCCGCGCGTCCGGCCAAGCAACACCAGCTGTAGACACGCCGCCAGCAGGACAAACACCTGCCCGCTGCATGCACCAGCCTCTGCTCCACCACCACCACCACCAGTGAGCTGAGCGTCCAGAAGGACGCGTAGGCAGAAGAGTGCGCGATCGGGAGCCCTTCGAAATCAAAGAAAGCGTTGCGGAGCAACTGCGTGCACACAGAGACTCGACTGCGGTGTGGACGGGAAGGAGAAGGACGAGGAGTTAGCTACAACAGGGACCCTGCTAGCCCATGCAATCTCGTGTCGCTGCAGCACCGGGACATCCTCCGCTGGCGCCGACGCTCAGGGGCGACTCCCCGCCCTCTGTGGATGCTGCAGGCCGAGGACACCCTGAGAAAGCTCGCCAGGTAGGTCTTCGCATCAGGAGACAGATCCACCGATGCCAGCGCAGCCGCGCGCGCGCAATGTGTCTCCACCCCTGCGCCTGTAAGTCTCCGCACTCAGGCCCAGGCCCTGGGCCACAGGCTGCGGCTCTGCAGACGTCCTGATCGGTGGCAGCTCGGCAGGCTTAGCAGCTCCAGTTTCCACAGGTTACTTCCCCTCCTCCTCTTCCTCCTCCTCATCCTCCTCCTCCTCCTCCTCCTCCTCCTCCCGTGTGCCCTCTGCCTTTGTAGCGGCACAAGGGATGACACACCACCTAGCGAAGCATCCTCTTGCGCACAGCTTAAGGATGGGAAGAAGTAATCGCAAGATCCACTGCGGCAATGTCTGCTGAGATGTGGGCTCAGTTCGCCCAGAAGATTGACCTATCCGTGCAGGCACCTTGTACAACATAACATTACGAATTGAAGCAACTCTGCCAGGCCGCCCTTTGGAAGGCACGAGGCGATGCGCTAACAATCAAGATAACTATGAACAGGATGCTGGATTCCCATATCAAGCCAGTGCTAGTCGGAGGCCCAGCTTGCTGACTCCTAATATGCCTGTTCCTCGATGTCGCCGTCGGCCGACTCGGACGCTGCTTATGACGTCCACCAAAAACAGACGTCAGAACAACCAGCGCCACCCAGAGCGAGCCGTACCGACGAAGCCTTGGACACAAAGGTGCGAGGTATCAGAAGTGCTCATGTCGCGAAACACCACGACGTGAACGAGAGCGATGACGGCGGCGACACCAACGCGGCGGCGCCGACGACACCGATGACTCCGACGATACCGACGACGATGACGACGGCAACGAAGTCGACGACGGAACAGACGCCAGCGACAGCAAAGACGTCGGCGACCGCGACGGCGACGACGTCGATGACGCTGGGGGCGTGGCAGGGGCCCGAGAGCCCGAGAGGGGGAGGACGAAGGGGACGAGGAATGAGGAGGAAGAGGAGGAACGAACACCCCTGACGAGTCCCAGTTCCGCCTCTGCTCGAATCGAAAACGCTGTACAGCGAGAGCGCGGAATCGACCAGCAGCAGGGGCAAATACGCAAACGCGAGCGGGAACCGCGGGATAACCGACCACCCCTGAGAATACCCCCTGGGGATAATAAAGCCTGGCGTCCAGGAGGGATAATAAACGTTTACCTAGAGATCTCAGCATGATGATGAACATGAGGACGATGATGGTGATAAAGATGATGCTTAACGCTTCATCGGAATTCTTAGGAAGTCCTTAGACTTCCTTCAGAAATCCATCGGGTAGCTTCGGAAATCCGTAGGACTCCTTAGGAATATGTACAAGACAAGGCCGATCGAGCGAACAACATGGTCGAGCGGATGCTGCCCCTGATACCCAAGCAGATCCCCCAACCCCAACCAACCTAAAACTTTACCACTCAAAAGGTGCTGCGGGTCAACCACGAACAAGAGGAGACGATCGAGCGCTAAATAATGCTGAGTACAAACCACCAAGTCGAGCCATTCCGACCCAAGAGGCGCCCCAGAGGCCCCAAGAGGCCCCCCAAGAGAGCACAGGAGGCCCTCTTGGGGCCCCACGAGGCCCTCAAAAGGCCCAAAAAGAGGCTCCAAGAGACCCCCAAACGGCCCCCAAGAGGTCCCACGAGGCCACGAACGCACAGGCAAACGCCTGCGATGGCGAGTGAATCATATTGAATACGGTCTTCAGATCGCAGGCAACCCATAAAACACGCTTTGGAGACAGGGGCCACGTGCATCCTACTACCAGTTGTCCTGGCCCCCCAACATATATGGAGGTGCACCAGCAGAGGGCAGGTTTACATTGGGCTAGAAACCGGCACAAATGGGCCGACTGATCTTCCAAATCGGAGGGGATGCACAAATCAGGGTGCCATTTTCTCAGCGACCGACGCAACGTGTCAACGAAGTGTTCAAGAAATAAAGCTCAAGTGCTCTCGAGCAACGCTGCACGCTGCATGTTCAATATCGCTCCACTTTGCGACGACCCGTCACAAACAACCTCCTCCCTCCCCGCTCTCGCAGCAGCGCGCAACACACAGATCCGGAAACAGAATACGCAAAGTAGTGATGAACACTTTCGCACATGCATATGGCCGCACACCGTTGCACGATGGACTAGGGTTCTGCCCAGCACGCCGGCGGCAATTTCTTGGCAACAAAGAGTTGCAGCTTGAGAGGCACACGCCTCGAGGCGTTCGAGAGCGGGCCACCAGCTAGACAAGGCTGTCGTGCAGGCTCGCCACGGGGAAGCGGCGCACACGTACAGAGCAACGATCGAGCTGGAGCCACCGCCAGGGCACCAGCGACGAGGTGAAAGCATGTCCGCTTGCTTCATTGAGCTGGGCGGCATCTGATAAAGTTTGCGAAGGTCGTGCACCTCTGTCTTGATAGGGCGGCGACGGGGTGAAATAGGGCAGGAAAAATGGCAAGCAAATGCGTCATAGTGTGGGGGGGCGGCATAGCACGAGCGCGCTGAACAATTTCAATGCGCGACTACTATGTGCTCATGGGCTTCTGCCATTGCGTGGCATCTGTCGCTTTAGGCACGACAAGGAGGATAAGGAGGAGGAGGAGGAGGACGTGGAGGAGGAAGAGACGAAGAAAGAGGATAAGGAGGCAGAGGGGAATACTAATGAGGGTCGCGGAGGGAAGACGAGGAAGGAAGAGGAGAAACGAGCGAACGAAGCTGGAGAGAGCTCCGGTTCACTTCAGCTGCGCCTCGGAGACGCCGCGCGCCCAGCTCCGCCGCGCAGATCATGCGGGGGCTTCACGGCGTGGCGGGCGGAGGCCACGACGGCGTAGAAGATGTTCGGGGTCTTGCAAATGCCGTCCTTCACGATGTGGAAGGTGCGTCGCTGCAGCAGGCGCGCTGCAACGTTCATGCTGCCCCTCTCGCCGTCGTGGGAGGTGTCCAGCGACGGCGGGACAAGCATCGCCAGCACCTCGTTGCTTAGCACGCCACGGGGGGCGGCCAGGCGAGCATCCTCGGGCGCGCCGAGTAGTGCTGGATGGCGTCGCCGCCGAGGAAGCCGAAGACATAGGCGCGGCGCTGCGGGACGACGCGCGTCCGCGCCATGGCCGCCCATGCCCGCGAAAGCGCCTCAATCGCGGCCCAGACGCGGGCGGGCGGCAGCGTCGCCAGGCGCAGGCGAAGGCGCAGCCAGCGTTCCATCAGGTCGTGGGGGAGGGTGTCCAGCTGCACCAGGTCCGGATCGTCCAACTCGGTACCAGGATTATGATTGCGTTGGTGCGCCACTCAGCGGCGGTGGGCCCGGTGCTCTGCCGAAGAGAAGCGCTGATGGACAAACTGTGGCGCGCGAGGCGCTGATCGTTGCCCGCGTGCCCCGGGAGCGCGAGCTCGAGTCGGGCGTCGCGGCGGATCTCCGAGGCCAGGCGGCGGCGCTGGACGCGAGTCCGAAACGGCGAGGTGAAGAAGTTGTCCTGCAGGACATGCGGGACATGCTCGACGCGCCAGGCCAGCCAGTCCACCTCGTCGTCGATGGCGCAATCCTGGGGGAACACGTCTGGTATCCAATGTGCTGCCCAGTATGCCGCGCGGTTTCGCGGGCGCTCGCGGGCATGCACTGCTCGCCGTGCCGCGGGGTCTCCATGCTGGGCCGGTTCTGGCGGCGTCAGACAAAGGACGGGGATGCGCTTCCTGGTCGTGATGTGGTAGGTATCGTGGCAAGGCCCTACTTGCGGGGCTAGCCGGCGCGCCCCCCGCGGCGTTCGCCGCGATCTGCTGTTGTTGCCGTCGCTGGATGTTGTGCGGCAGGGCCAACAGGCCGCGGCGCGGGACATGCTTGCGCGCAGCCGCGAGTGCGCTCATCGCGCGCATGGAGGAGCCGAGGGCGCGCGCCAGTCGCTTGAAGTGGGCGCCCGCGCCCTGCGCGAAGAAGGTGGAGCTGCACACGCCCGCGAAGGGCCGTGCGATGGGCGTCTGGTTCAGACAGCATCCCCCACGCCATAGGCCGTTCACTGACCTCAATGCCGAGGTGGTCGAAGGCGCTCTCGGCGAGCATGTTGTGCCAGGGTGTCCAGTTCGGGATGGTCTTCTTCGCCGCGCGCAACATCGCGGCGTCCGGCAGCGCCTCGTTGCTGGGCGAAACTTCTATGTCGGTCCATAGCGCCATGCCGAAGATGTCGGACATGGGAGAAACCGTTCGGGGCATGGCCTGACGCTCCGCCGCGAAGGTGGCATCTGGCGGCTCGTGCTCTGTCGTAGCGGGGCCCGCGAGTCGGCGAGCTTCAGGATGCGGCCCCGCCACTTGGAGGCGGGGGCCCGCCGCTGATGGCCCAGATTTCGCGCGGGGACTGACAACTCATCCAAGTTTACGAACTTGCCAGCGATCGGAAAGTCGCCGCGCGGAGCGCGAACAACTGAAGCACGGCGCGCGCGCAGATCCAGGGAAGGCGAGGGGGGCGAACGGGCGGGCGCGATGACGCACTTCCTGGACTGGAATTGAAGGCCAGCGAGGGGGTCCACGGTAAAAGCGCGCGGGAACAAACGCTCGGTGCCCATGGGCCTCGCCAAGATGACTCCGCGGTCTCCTGCGCGCGCGCTGACCGGCCCGCGGCGGATCATCCGAAGCTCGGCGGACAGGGCTGCGGCTTGGACCACGGGGTAGACGACGAGCGCCCATGCTCCGCCGAGCGGGCGCCAACGTGCGGCCCCAGAGCCGGCGCGAACCAACGGTTGGAGCGCGCCCGCCCCGAGCGACGGGTGCGAGAGCGGGTCCGTGTGGAAGGCCCGATGGAGCACCCGCCGCGCGTCGCCGCAACGCCCCCGGCGCCCGTGGGCCGCCCGGGCCCGCTGCCGGCTCAGCGCCGGGCAGGGCGCCGCTGCGTCCGCGGGGGCGAAGGCAGGCGCGTGCCCCTGAGCGTCTGTCGATGTGCCGAGCGCGCGGGCTCCCGCATCCACCGAAGCTGCGTTGCGTAGGCAGTGGCGCCCTGTGGCGAGCCCCAGCCTGCTCGTCGGCGGGCTCGGCGGCCGCCGCTCCGTGGGTTCTGTCTGTGACCGAAGCGGGCATCTGGATCTCAACGTCGTTCATGATGAGGGGCCGCGAGGTAGCCGGCGCGCGCGCGTTCGACGCGCCCCAGAGGCCCGCCCCCCGTGACTTGACTTGAAGGACTGGAGCCCAATGGTCGGAGATGGCCGCGCGCGCCAGGCTCGGTTCAGCAATGGTGGGCTGGCAGCTGCCAGCGGTGATCTCGACGCCGGCCGGATGCAAGCGACGCGAGAACGGCTTGCGCAGTTCGCCTTCGCTGCCTTCGTGACGAGCTCGCAGCCTCCATCGATCGCCGAGGGCGACTCGGCGTTGGTCGCGCGCGTCGCGCGAGCGCGCGGCGGCTGTAGAGCGGCGTTTTCCGGTGAGGCCTGCTGGTGAAAAGCGGCCATGTCATTCAGCGAGGCAGCGCCGTCCCGCAGGAAAATGCGCTCGCTGCTAATCTCTACGCGAACGGTCCGCTGCTTGGCCAGGGCGGAGTTCCGGCGGCAGATCGCGCGAGCAATGTCGCGGGAGGTCTTGCCACGAAACGTATTCGATGTGTCGCCGCGCTGGCCACCTGCTGATTGGGGGCGGTAGTCGCGGCATACCGGCCTCTCCGGGCGGCCTCGTTCATCATAGTCTTCATGGAGCGCCGCTGGTCTACCGGCGAAAGGGGGCGGGGGCGGTCGGGCCGCAGGTACCTTCCCGCGGTGGCGAGCGCCGCGTTCAGAGTCGGAAGCGAAGGCGGGGGCAACGCGCGCATGCGTGCTGCGGGCGTTGGCGGACTTGGCGGACGTGCAACTGCATGATCTCGCGGATGCAAATCGAGCCGTCAGGACCTTCCAGCGGAGCACCATCAGCATTGAGCGCCGCATCCACCATCGGCATTGAGTGGGGGGAAGGAAGCACACGAGCGGCCAATCGTAGACTCAGTCATGTTCGCGGCGCAAGCGGCGCGTGGTCGAGAGGGCGGCGACCTCGAGGATGCCTGGGGACAGGCTGTTCCCGAAAACAGGCTGGCGCTGGCGTCGCAGAGCCTCTGCCGAGGACGAGCCGACGGGCGCGCTGAGGCTCTCGGACGGAATCTCGGATCACTTTGACCGCCGGGCACCGCGAACATCCGCCTCGCCGGGCCAGAGGCTGCGTGCGCAAGTAGCTGTTGCCAGTGGCGTCGAACGGCGTCGCGTTCGCACGACGAGGGCGCGCGGTTGCGCGCGCGCAGAACAATGACGTCGAAAGTTATGGTGACGCCCGCGCTTCGGAGCCATACTGCTCGCCCTGGAGCGACTTCTGCGAAGGTCCGCAGAGGGCGCTCGCCGGGCGGGCGGCCCAACTTCTCCTCGGCGCGCGGGGCGAAGGAGCCGATGCCGCCTACGGAGGTGGGGTCCGCAATCACCGAGTGACAGGCAATCCGCGGGCGCTACGTGGAGCGAGCGAGCATGCCCACGTCGGTCGCAGAGCCGCGTTGCTCCAGCAGGGCAACGAGCGCATGCCGGCGAAGAAGAGGCGGTCGCAGTCGACGATTACATTGACGGCGCTTGTCGGACGCACCCCGCGGCGCCTGCGTGTTCCAGGAGGTGGGGTTAATGCCGGCATCATTAGGTTTACTTGACCATGGCTCCCACCGAGGCCCAAAGCCACTGCGCTGACGCCAGTGCATCCGAGAAGCTGGGCCCCAAGGCGGTGCGAATGTCGCGCAGCTGTTGGCCGCCGGTGCCATGTCAAACGGCGGCGGTGAAACACTTCACATTTGTAGACTCATCAGGTGTGGTGCCAGTGCGCAGCTGCACCAGAACCTCATCGGGCACGCAGCGTAGCCTTATGAGCGGTGGGCTCGAAAACCGAAGGACTGGAAGCGATCGCTGATAAGGTTGGCCGTGCGCTTGATCTGGATCTTCTGGCACACCGTACGCGGGGTCTTGTCCGCCGACATATACAAAACAACAGCAGGAGCACCAACGATGGAACTCTGGAGGTCGCGCCAGTGTCGACCGACGCGACGTGCTCCGTGGAGCCTTCGAGCGCGCAGTTCTGCAGCAACCGCGCCGCCCGTGAGGGTGAAGATGTGGCGCTTGGCGAAACCCGTCGCGTTGAAGGGGAGGTGCTCACTGCCGACCATGGCTGCCTCGAGCCACTCGCCCAGGGCGAGCTCGAAGTCGTCGGTGTTGAAAGCGGTGGCGCGGCCGCACTAGAAGGCGCGAGGGGACAGCAAGGCAGTCCCAGGTGCCGATGGTGTCCGAGTTGAGGTTGGGCCGGCGGGACTCGGCGTCGCCCACGGTGCGCTGGAGCTTCTCCACCGTCTCGCGGAGCTCTCGCGTGGCGGCCTCGGACTTGGCAGCTCGACTGGGGGCATCGTGTTGAAGTCGATGGCGATGGCTGTGTCCGGGGCAAGGAACTGCACGCGCGCAGCTTCCGTGACGGACTTCGTTGTGGTTTCGAACCTTGCGGCGGCAACTTTTGCCCTGGGCAGCGAGGGTCGCCTCCAGCTGCTGGCGCACGTGGGCAACCATCTCAGGCGCGTGCAGCTTGGAAGCAGCGTTGAACAAAGGATCCGCTTCATTGGAGGGGCGCCTGCCGTCTGAGCTCCTGTCCTCGTTGGCTGGCATGCCGTTGTCTCGCTGTCGCTCGCCAAGAAGAGGCCCGCATCAGCCTCGGCAGACAATCGCGTGTGGTATGTAGGAATGGAGGCCAACACCGAGGGCACGGCGAGGCAGAGGGATGTCCTAATCTGGCCCCTGGCTAAGGGTATCCGTGACCTGCCATGCCAAGGGGCGAAGTCATCGTGAGCGAACACACCTGCGCAGACGGAGAAGGAGGAAAAGGACCAGGAGGAGAAGGGAAGAGAGAGGAGGAGGAGGAGGAGGAGGAGGAGGAGGAGGAGGAGGAGGAGGGAGGAGGAGGAGGGGAAGGAGGAGGAGGAGAGGGGAGGAGGAGGAGGAGGAGGAGGAGGAAGGACGAGGATCAAATATAAGGAGGATCGAGGGTGATCAGCAGCATCGGTGTTCCATGGTCGAGGGCGCGGCGGGCCCCCCCAGCGGCTCCACTCGGCCGCCAGCTCGCCCCGGGCCCGGGCGCGGGCGGTCTCCACCGCTGCGTGGGGCACGAGGCGGGCGAGGGCCTGGCCGCGGGGGTGGGGCTCCTTACCCTCCGCCTGCCCATCCCGCCGCCTCCCGCCTCCTCCTCCTCCTCCGCCTCCTCCTCCTCCTCCTCCTCCTCCTCTTCTGCCCTCCTCCTCCTCCGCCAGGCTACTCCTGCTGCGCGTCCTTCTGCTCGCCTCCTCCGCTACCATCTTACTTCTCCTCCACCTGCTCTTCCTCTTCTGTCTCCTCCTCCTCCTCCTCCTCCTCCTCCTCCTCCTCCTTCTCCCGTCTCGTCTTCCTCCTCCGTCCACGTCCTCTTCCTCCTTCTCCTCCGTCCACCTCCTCTCCTCCTCCTCCTCCTCCTTCTCCTCCTCCGTTCTCCGTCCTGATCCCGCTCCTCCTCAGTTCACTCCGCCTCCTCCTCCTCCTCCTCCTCCTCCTCCTCCTCCTCCTCCTCCTCCTATTCCTCCTTTTCCGCCTCTAGTGCGTCCTCCTCCTCCTCCTCCTCACCCCTCCTCTTCCTCCCCTCCCTCCCCTCTCCTCCTCGTCCTCCTCCTCCTCACCTCCCCTTCTCCTGCTGCTTTCTCCCTCTTCCTCCTTCATCCTCCTCTTCCTTCCTCCTCTTCCTCGTCCCTCCTCCTTCCCTCCTCCGCCTCTTCCTCCTCCCTCATCCTCCTCAGCCTCATCCCTGCTCCTCCTCCTCGTCTCCCTCCTCCTCCTCGTCCTCCAACTTCTCCTCCTCCTCCTCCTCCTCCTCCTCCACCGTCTCGTCTTCCTCCTCCGTCCTCGTCCTCGGCCTCCTTCTCCTCCGTCCCCTCCTCGTCCTCCTCCTCCTCCTCCTCCCCTTCCTCCTCCTCCGTTCTCCGTCCTGCTGATCCTCCATCATCAGTCCACTCCTCCTCCTCCTCTCCTCCTCCTCCTGCCACCTCCTCCTCCGCCTCCCCCCTCCTCTTCCTCCTCCTCCCTCGTCCCTCGTCCCTCCTCCCACATCTCGCTTCCTCCTGCCTGCTTCTCCTCTTCCTCCTCCTCTTCTTCTCCTCGCCCCGTCCCTCCTCCTCTTCTCCTCCTCCTCCTCTTCCTCCTCATCCTCCTCATCCTCAGCCCCCGGCTCCTTCCTCATCGTCCCTCCTCCTCCTCCTCCTCGTCCTCCAACTTCTCCTCCTCTCCTCCTCCTCCTCCTCCCCTTCCTATCCCACTCCTCCTCCTCCTCATAACCTCCTACCCTCCTCCCCCTTGTTCCTCCTCCTCCTCCTTCCTCCTCCTCCTCCTTCCCTCCTCCTCCTCCACTCCTCCTCCTCCTCCTTCTCCTCCTCCTCCTCCTCCTCCTCCTCCTCCTCCTCCTCCTCCTCCTCCTCCTCCCTCCACGCGAGGGGGGAGAGGGGCGGGGCGGGGAAGGGATGTGCCAGGAGGGCTGCCGGGTCGGGCGTCCAGGGGTCGAGAATCGGGGAGCGGGAAGGGCCCAGAGAAAAGGGCGACGCGCACTCACGAAGGGGGGAGGAGGGAGGAGGATCGATGTGGGCAGGAAGATGAGGAGGCGGAGGGGGATCGAGGAGAGAGGAGGAGGGGGAAGGTGCGGAGGATGAGGTGGAAGAGGACCCAGGGGGATAGGGAGGATGACCGAGGAGGTAGAGAAAAGCAAGGTCGATTATCGACGGTGTGTTTGATGGGACGGGCGAAGAAAAAACAGGGAGGAGGGACCAGTGTAACTCCCTCCCAGCTCCCTCCTCTAATAGCCCTACAAGACAACATGTTCATACCAGGCAGTGGCCCAGTGAAGGAAAACCGTCCGAAATGATCGAACAAGTAAGGATGACACTCCCCCATACAAAGACCAGGAACAGGCAATCCACCACTTGTCTTAAATTTTCAACGATAATCATCGTGGACACCGAACAGTGTTTTCTATCATACGAAGTGGTACAATCTATTGGGTGCAGGCGATGTGGTGCAATCTACGAGGTGGAAGCTATGTGGTGTGAGCTACCTGGTGTGAGCTGTGAGGCGCCACCTATGTGGTGACGCACAACGTACTCGAATATGTGATGTGAGCTATATGGTACAATATGTGGGGTGTGAACTATATAGCGCGAGCAATGTGGTGCAGCACGCGTGGTGCAATATATGCGGTATTACATGCATAGTTATATATATATACACACAGATGTATGTGATGCAACATGATGTGAACACTTCGTGCACTGCATTCAATGTGGTGCGAAACAGGCGTAGAGGTGCAATATGGGCAATGCATTTTTGCGGATTGGGACAGTTGATGCAAGCTATGTGGTGCAGTGTCTGTGACATTCGCTACGTGGTGTTGACTATGTGGTGCAATCTATGTGGTGGGATTCACTTTGAATGTCTTGAAACTGTCCTCTCCGCTGCTCGTACAAACATCCTACCCTCCCACCCGCAACTTGGTCGCAAGACCTCTTCAGACCGTAACGGTAGGTACCAAATGGCACTTGGCAACGACACCGACGCCGACGACGACAGCGACAACGACGACGACGACGCCGCCGACACCGACTACGACGACACCGACGACATCTCCAACGACTTCGACGACGACGGCAACGACGACGACAACGACGACAACGACATCGACGACGACGACGACGACACCCACGACGACGACGATGACAACGCCGACGACGACGACGACAACGCCACGCCGACGACGACGACTACGCCGACGACGACGAAAACGACGACGACGACGCCAACGAAGACGACGACGACAACGAGGGAGGAGGGAGGACGACGACGGCGACAACGACGACAACGACGAGGGAGGAGGGAGGACGGCGACGGCGCGAACGACGAGGAAGGAGGGAGGACGGCGACGCCGACGACGACAACGACGAGGGAGAAGGGAATACGACGGCGACGACGACCACGGCAACACAATAGGAGGGACGACGACGAGACGCCGACGACAGACGACTCTGTCGAGGGAGGGGGAAAGACGACCATAGCGACAACGACGACGGAAACAAAGACGATCGAGCGCGCACGCATGATATTTTTAGAAAATCCGTGTTGCGAAACCCTGTGTGTTGTCTGTGTTTTTTGTTTGGGGAACTCGATGTTGAAACCCTTTCGGAACCGAAGGTTTTTGAAGGATTTCGGCACGCGCGCGCGACGACGCGCGCGTGCGCACTTCGTATCACTTTTTGCAAAAAAGTTCTTTACAATTTATGATGTTTGATAAACGGGTGCGCGCACATTACTTTTTGCAGAGGATGGCCGGGGGGAGTGATATCGGCCTGGCTGGGATACTACGAATTCATATTTAAGATTGACGAATGTGCAAAAAACTTAGAATTGACTACCCTGCACCGCGCCTGACCACCTCCCGCGCTCTTGCAAACATTCCACCCGCCCACCCGCAACTTGGTTTCCAAAACCCATGCGGCGGCGATTGCGATGAGTGTTTGACGTTGGCTGTTGCATATCCGCGGCCGCGCCGACCCAAGCACGCGCTCGCAACGGCCAGCGAACTTGGCGCGGCCGACGCGGCCGCTGTGAAGCTGACCGCTGGGCACAGCCCAGCGGGCACCTTGGTGTGAGTCGGCGACTTTGGCGGGCGCGGTACCATGGCAACGTCGACGACGGTAGACACGATGATGATAAAAAACGATGTTGGTGACGACGGTGGCAACGACGAAGGCGCGGCCAGGGCGTGCGCCGATGCTGATCACGCCGGCGACGATGACGGCGTCCTCCCATCGGTGATGAAAGTTCTGGAAAGAGTTCGACATGCGCGCGCAGCCGACGCGCGAGAGTGGCCCGCATGATATGATTTGACACGGATCGTGCCCCACCCCAAGAAAGCGCGCAAGGGCGTGCGAATGATGTCGGCATGCGGCGCGAGAGGCCCGTTTGGCAGAATCCCATGAACATGCTGAGAAATGTTTATGGCGAAGGGCCCAACCATATGCAGTTGTGGGTACTGCAATTGTGAATACCTTCTTCGGTGAAGATCCCTATGGGGCCACGACGCGCTGCACTGGGTGGGGGGGAACGCATGCGGGCGGTAGCGCTGGGGCCGTCAGTGGAGCTCCCTATGGGGCCACGAAGCGTTCGCTGTAGTGGGCGGGTGAGAATGTCAAATTGCGTGTGTGGGACGCAAGCGGGCGGTCCCACTGGGGGCTTCGGAGGAGCTCCCTATGGGGCCACGAAGCGCTGCGCTGAGTGGGTGGAAATGCCAAATTGGGCTTCCGGGGCGCACGCGGACGGTCCCACTGGGGGCTTCGGTGGAGATCCCTATGGGGCCACCAAGCGCTGTAATGGGTGGGTGAAAATGCCAAATTGGGCTTCCGGGGCGCATGCGGACGGTCCCGCTGGGGGCTTCCGTGGACATCCGAATGGGGCCACGAAGCGCTATACTGGGTGGGTGATAATGCCAAATTCAATGTGCGGAACGCACGCGGACGGTCCCACTGGGGGCTTCGGTGGAGCTTCCCACGAAACTTTGTACTGGGTGGGTGGAACTGCCAAATTGTGTGCGTGTGGGACGCATATGGGCGGTCCTACTGGGGGCTTCGGTGGAGATCCCTATTGGGGCCACGAAGCGCTGCACTGGGTGGGTGAATATGTCAAATTGAGCGTGCGGGGCGCATGCGGGCGGTCCCACTGGGGGTTTCGGTGGGGCTCCCTATGGGGCCACGAAGCGCCGTACTGGGCGGGCGAAAATGCCTAATTGGGTGTGCGGGGCGCATGCGGATGGTCCCACTGGCGACGAGACGCTGTACTGGGTGTGGCGGACGCATGTGGCCACCCCAACAGGGGCCTCCGATGAAGCTCTCAATGGGGCCAGACAAACCGCTGCACGGGGCGTGGCGGACGCATGTGGCCACCCCCACTGGGCACTTCGGTGGAATTCCCTATGGGGCCGCGAAACGCTGTACTGGGTGTGGCGGACGCATGTGGTTACCCCCACTGGGGCCTTGGGTGGGCCCCCCTCTGGGGCCACGAAGCGCTGCACTGAGCGTGGCGGACGCATGTGGCCACCCCCACTGGGGCCTTGGGTGGA